TATATTAATATTCAATAATATATTCTACTTGTTTTTTTTTTATTATCTGTACTTCACAAATATATAATACAATTTGAATTTAAACAATGATTTCCTCCTTGGTTCACATTTCAATTCCAATACAGATTTAACAATGAATCTGTCCACTTTATAGTTTCTTAGTACTGTCATTCTACAAATGACACTAAATAATAAAACTCAATGGATAACTTAAGCTCAGATCCTTGCAGCAAATCTTCAGTTCATTAGCTTATGCACTACACAAGATTGGACAATATAGCAATACATTGCAATATATTACAATAGTCTATTTTCATTATTGTGATAACAATTGTCGTATGTTGTACATATTCATATTATAAAATCATGACATTTTGTGCAATTTACTGTATGGAGAGTTATAACTCATCAAAACGCAAATACTCTCACTGTTGCGACTCAATATATATATCCAAACATTCTGTATGTACACAAATATTAACTTATTTCCAAAAACTTTTACTCATATTCATAACACTAATAGTAAATTTAAAGACAAGCTTGTTGCTCAAGTATTGTTTAGAAAATTCAACAGGTTTCTTGTACAATCAATAATACAATCAAGAGCCAATAACATTCATTTCTGGAGTTACCAAAAGCTTTTCTTTAGGTTAAAAGACAACTTCATAAATTACAAAACTGAACCATGTAAGAATAGTCTTACCTGTAATCTATCACTTTCTAACATGTCACATATTAATGTGGTGCTTATAAATTCCAACACTCACTTACTAAACATTGTCTCAAATGACAAATATACATAGCTACAGGTACCTGCACAGGACCTTTATTGATCAACAATGGCTGCTAAGGGCCATTCTAATGAATTTCAAGAGAAGCATCAAAGAAGTGAACCAATTGCTCAAACATATAATACATTCAATCTGAGCATACATATAATATATAATTCCAGCATAATATGACACCTTTGAGGAATTGGATATCATTTCTAGGTGCTTTTTCAACACATTAATAATCAATATCATATGATTATGATAACCTTGAGGATCCTAATAGATCTCAATTGGATTTTATACTAAATAATGATTAAATAAGGAACTATTAATAATAATAGTTTACAGTTATTCGGTTTTTTAACATTGGAGTTTACTACCAATTGTTAGCCATTGCTATATATATAAAATTCAAAACACAGCAAGAAATAAATATAATAATTGTACTATCAGAGTTAAGTACTATTTTCACTGAGAGCTTCACAGCTAATCAAGAGATAGCATCTAAAATGTCTTTAATATCTAATATTATGAAATATAACATGTTATGTTGCTGGTATCAGTTTATGTCAACAATATACTGTGTCTATCTATATTAATATGCTTTATTAATTCATTAATAAACACATATCAAAATATCAACCAATATAATATATATACATATGACAGTGTCTCAATTTGGGAATATAACCACCATCAAGACATATACCTGGACTATGCCTGTGATTGTCATTTATCTGAAATGGGATCATCAAACATATATGTGTACCTACTAAATCTATTTAATATGTAGAAAGCAATTCATCCAAAAGTTCAATAAAACAAGTGAGAAACTGCGTTTAATGGTATGCGTGTTATTAACGTAAATTCACTTACCACAACTTCTAGTCAGAATTACCTTACAGTCGAATTTGTAGGCGGGATTGGTACCGCTTCTGAACTTTTAAAATCACTAGTATCCTGACGACTTAGGCGTAATGCCGATTAGTCAGGGAGAGAAACACCTCAATGCCTACAATATTCACAATTATCTATCTCTTATTTGTTTTTATAATAATATCAACACTTTCGCTCCAAAACTCCCGCTGCCTCCGTTCAATCGTCCGTCATCCACTTGTCAATGTCACATAGATTACTTTGGCTTTGGCCTCTGACGTTCCGTTTCAGGTTACATGATTATTGACTTTACCATTTTTAATTAATGGTGCGTCACACGATAGTTAACAGGAGGATGTTAAGATGTTCATCTTATCATCCTCCACTGGTGCCCCGCCTTTTGGCTGTCTGTTTGTTCAGACGAATCTCTGAAATGGCTGGACTAATTTTGATGGGAATTTTTTTGACAGGTAGCTGATGTAATAAGTAGTAACAGGCTATTTTAATTTTAGAAAAATAAATTAAAATTCCACGCGGACGAAGTAGCGGGAACAGCTAGTAATCTGTATATATATATGTATAAAATAAACGTAATTTTTTTTTTGAGGGTTGATAATGGAATGTTGCACCCGCCTGCGCTAACGGTTTACGCTGGCGGGGCACCAGTGGAGGATGATAAGATGAACACAAGGTCAGGTCAGTTAGCCCATCGTGACAAATTCACCAGGAATGTAACACGATGGTTTCCAGGTGGAACCGCGTGGAGGTCAACCTGACATGGTACATAGCTAGCAGTTGTATTCTGTACTTAGGTATATCAAACACAATATTAGCCGTTAAATAATTATAATACAATATTATTGTATTATTTGCTATACTGATTAATGCGTCATAATTTATATAAATAACATAAATGAATAATCAGAGACAATATTACCTAAGAGTTTGTGTCGTACCTACTACACTATATTGAAAGCTGAGGTACCCGTAATATCACTCATGAGCAGTGGCGTAGTTAGGTGACCAAGGGACCTGGAGCAAATCAAAAAGTGGGGCCCCACTGCTCAGTACTGGGGCCCTATACAGTTGTATTAAAACGCACATATAGCTATCAGTCAAATTGACAGCACTACCAACTTACAGAAAGAGTTTAGGGGAATTCTGAAGGTGTAACTGTGTGCTCATGGGCGGCGGTAATCACTTACCATCAGGTGAGCCGCATGCTAATTTGTCCCCTGTGTTATAAAAAAAAAATTTCGAATTTCTCTCAACTGAGTTGCCATCATTAAAGTAACCTATCATATTTATTTTTAAAATGTGATGAATTTGTGAAATAAAAAAATATTGCTTTTTAGTTATTTTTAAATTTTTGCTTAAGCACGTTAGTGGCCCTGTGGCCCGGGGGGCCCGTGTGCGGCATTTATTTATTTTATTTATTTATTTAATTAACACAATATAAACTTACAGCTAATTGCCAACACGATTATATTTTAAAACTATTTATACTACTTAAAATTATACGGTGATAAATATATTCTTATTTTAGTAATTATTTATTTATTCATTTATTTGAGGCAACTAGGCCCATATTATAAATACCTTATAGACTAACATACATATAATATAATATTTAAAAACTAATACAATGATATTGTCTGTGTGATCACGGCACTGAAGACGGCTATCTGCCACTGTAGCGCCGATACACATTTCGGCCAGTAGTCCTCTTTCATGAAGGTGGGCAGCAAGTCGGTGGGGACCAGGGCCACAAACGCTTTGAAACTCGCGTTGTGACTCGACTCCAGCTGCGTTACCCTCAATGTCAGGTTACTCTTGGTACGGATATAATCGACAATGTTCTGCTCCTTAGTGGCGTAATGTAGACGGGACAGGTACATTGTCGTGGTCGGTGTAGCAGCAACCCTTACAACCCTTTTTTCGCATTCAAAAGTAGCCTTTGGCCTTTCTCAGGGTCTAGACTCAAATTCAAATTCAAATTCAAAAATCATTTATTCATGTAGGACAACTTAGCGGCTTATGAACGTCAAATTTTTACATTATAATTTTATTTTTTCCCTACCGTCTAGTTCGGTATATAGATCCAATTGAGAAGAACTGGCAAGAAACTCAATTGAATTACTTTTTTTTTTAAAGCCTGTTTATTTACAATGTATTTTTATATACCTATATAAAAATACATTAATTAACAAATTTAATGTTAGACATAGACAGGTGTCTGTCTATGTCTAACATTAAATGAAAATTCAGTGCATGAACAAGTATTGCCATGCACACTCGTCATTCAAGTAATCGTTTAGTGAGTAATAGGCCTTGCTCAGTAAATATGATTTAACAGATGTTTTGAATTTATTTAAGGGTAATTCCAACATATCCTTTGGTATCTTATTGTAAATTTTTATACCTATTCCCATAAAAGACCTATTAACTTTTTCTGAACGATACTTGGGACAGCAAGTTTGTCTTTAAATCTAGTATTAATATTATGACTATCTGTGTACCAAATTTAATTTAAATCGGTTCAGTAGTTTTGACGTGAAAGCGAGACAGACAGACAGACAGAGTTACTTTCGCATTTATAATATTAGTAAGTAATAAGTAAGGATAGTAGAAACAATTATATTAAAGGATACATATGGATATCATACGAGCGGTAGATAAAAAAAAATGTTATGACCATTCAAAAGTGCTTAAATTAAGTTTATTTTAATAAATGATTTTCTATTCTATTCATCCGAAATCGAACTCGCTACTATTTGAATTCCAGACACCCAAAGCCGTTAAAAAAGAAAACAGCCAACCTTACTAATATTATAAATATGAAAGTAGAGATGTTTGTTCACGCAAAAACTACTAAAGCGGTCATTATGATATTTTGTACACATGTTCTTGTAGGTATTAGAATGAACATAGGGTACTTTTTATTTAAAAAAATTATAAAAAACAAAAAAAAAATATGCTATAAAGTATATTCATCATATTGATTTATTTTATTTATTTATTTATACTCTTCATTGCACCAATTGCAGAACAAAAACAAAAAATCAATTAAAATGGAAAATATACACTGATACAAAAGGCGGTCTTATCGCTAAGCAATCTCTTCCAGACTACCTTTAGGTGGATAGAGAAATAAAAATAAGAACAGGGTAGGTGGCGCACGTAATAAACAAAAATAAATATATAGGACTCAAATATACATAAATATAAACATATATAAACATATTATTTATTTATTTCTATTGTAATGATCTCCGATACTTATTTAATATATTCAATGCGAGCGAAGCCGCGGGTAAAAGCTAGTAAATGATTATTTTCTTTTTTTTTCAGTTCTTCGGGTTGTGTGCCATCATTGCATATGGTTTGGATGGCTACTTAAAATACAGGGGTTGGAGAAGAGGCCTGCCGCCCCAATAGCCGTCTCATAACTGTTAGTATATTTAAGTTAAGACTGAATAGTACAGTTCAGTTTTACTATGTAGACTGATATCAGATTGATGTACACTGACGTCACAGCATAATATTGTAATTAAGAAGTATTTGTTTACGCTTTTTATTGAGAAGAGGGTCTTCATGATGTAATTAAACTCGGAGATTTCTGGCTAGTTTTTTTAATTTAATTGATAGTGGTTTACAATGGTTGCGTATGATAATGCGTATGTGATCGTTGACAGATTTTGTATATTAAAGTATAACGGTTAACATATTGTCTATGGTCCGCTGAAATACCGACGTTTCAGTGTTGCAGTATCAAAAATGCAATTTGGGCCACAAATTAATGCAACCGCGCCGGAACATATTTATTATTAAATATTTACAGTTATTTCTCAAGTTTAAAATTACTAAGTGTACCAATTACATATATAAAGCGTAAAAGCCCCAGATCGATCCCCCGTGCAATTCAAACGGGGATCGAAATTACGGCCTAAGTCGAGGTTCGAACCCCTAGAGGTCACTAAAATCGTATCCGTAAGGCGGGAGTTGACCTTCAGCCACTCCATAAGTCCGACCGCGGGTTTGGAATGCCAATCTGCACTCGGCCCCTATTGTTCGGTGAAGCTGTAAAGGCCAGCTGCGGTCAACAGCATTAGAGTAGTCCAAAAAAATGTAGAGAGATTTGGTCAAATTTCCACCAATGATACCTACAGAAGTACAGGCTTATAGTTTTTTTTATATCCGAAATAAATTCAGTATAAACTGCATTTACTTTGCAAACTGTACAGTACTCATTTGTCCTCCCAACCTGTCCTTGTACCTTTACATGTCGAACTTTATGAAGACAAATCCATATATTTATTACTATAGATTACGCGTTATATATGTAGTCAATTCACTATAATACTCGTATAATTCAACTCAATTCAAAATATCTTTAGACCTCCATGTCTATTACAGACTTATGATATGTCTAATCTACCGTCAGTTCGGAATGATTTTGAGCTTAGAAGAACTGACAAGAAACTCAATATTCTTTTGAAATAAATGTTGGAAATGGTTACAATAATACAGATTCATTTAAATTCAAATTTCGGAGAATAGAGGCAGGGGCGGATCTACCTAATGGCTTTTTGGGCTGCAGCCCAGGGCCCCGAGGATACAAAGAGCCCCCAGTTCCCAGAGAATTCAAATCGGAACTGTGTCCTTATGTTTCTCAATTGTTGGTTTATATTTTTTTTATTATTAAATTTGATTGGGCCCTATAAGTTATATATACTTTCTCCAATCGGTTATGTTACTGATTACAAATTAATTAGAAATATTACTCGAATAATATTTAGGATTTATACGCGTTATTAACAAACTACGAATGTAGATAATTAACAACATTAAATATTTTTTTCTAGCGCCAACACTTTCGTTTGCTATAATTGGCGTGAATGCCAGTCAATTTTGCTTTATAAGCAACCAAAGAGTATAAATCAAAGACAATATAACGATGTAATAAGGCAAAAGGAAACTAAGGGAACATTCCTAGAGGGGACCTCGAGGCAAAGGCGGATCCAGGGAGGGGTCCTGGGTGTCTGGGCCCCCCACCCCTGAGGCCCAGGACTTAGGTGGACCACTAATTGAACATAATGATTTTATTTATATATTTTGTCACCATACAGATTTTATGTAACTACATACCTTCAATAGACTCTGAAGTGGCAATGGGCAGGGCACATAGCTCGTAGGACAGATGGGGCAGTAAAGTCCTCGAAAGGCGACCACGAACCGGAAGACGCAGCGTGGGAAGGTGGAGCGACGATCTGGTCAAGAGGGCATTGGATGCGAGCAGCGCAAGACCGATCGTCGTGGAAATCTTTGGGGGAGGCCTATGTCCAGCAGTGGACGTCTTCCGGGCTGCGATGATGATGATGATGATGATACCTTCAATATTTAAATAGTGTAATTCTTGACTCGTTATGTAACCCCCTCCTGATGCCAATGCGGGATCCGCCCTCGCCTCGAGGACCCATTCGTATTTATAGTTTTATTCAATATTGTATCCCAAGAAAAAGCATAATAGCAATCCTGTAATTAAATTAGGGACTGATCGTGGAGTAAGTACCTTATATTATTTATTGCAAAAATAAATGCGATTTATGACCTTTTTCCTCTCACCGTTTGGAATTAATATTGATCTGTTCAATTTTAAATTTATTACAATTACACAGAGCAATCCAGACCTAATTTACATATATTATTAGGTGCTATTTCCTATGTAATTCAGATATTATTAGGAAATAATACATTAAAATTAAAGGTCGTGATTTTAAAAATAATTGACAAGTATTTTTATATGTACGTCATTTTTTCCTTGACTTCTTAAATTGTATATTAGTTTTAATTTAGTTAGTTGTTTATGCTACTTTACTGAGTTGCCATTAAAAAAAATAAGTACTTTAAAAGTATTGTTGAAATCTTTTATAAATATACTAACCAGTTTGTTAAATATATACTTAAATAATAAGAATAACCACCGATAACGTATAAAGATCTTAAATTGCTGCGGAGGTCAGCACTTAAATTTTTATATATGTATTTTTAATAAGACATTATATTGTATTAATACACATTTTAACAGTAACATTATTTTGTATAACAGACATTTTGGAGGGAATAAAATTTTTATGTCAAAATACGTTGTGTGGTTTAGAAGTCAGCGTGAGACATATAAACGAAAACAATGACTTTTATACTGATAGTGATAAATTATATTTACCGTTTCATATAGTTTAACTATTGGTATGGAAGTTTATATTTATAATATTGTTATTATGTATATGAAATTTTATATACGTTTATAGGTAAAATGTTCAATACATTCATTCGGTCGTTGGTGATGTTATTACATACATGTATTTTTATATAGATTTTATAGGGTTTAAAATATTCATTCATTCGTTCGTTCGTTCGTTCATTCAGCAATGCAGGATGTAAATTAAATATAATAGCTATCGGTCCCGGAATAGCTTAGTAGCAAAAAGAGGTACTGTTGCAGACCCCGCGTACTTACAACTGTCCAAAGATAATACAACAAATATTTTGTTATATAAAATCTAACACATGTAATTAGTATAGTTTTTTCTAAAGTCCAATCAAGATTTATTGATTAGATTTGATTGGATTTTTATTTATGTAAGTCATATTTATGATAACATATGATATTTCAATCAACTAGCTGTGCGAGCAGTTTCAAGCGCGGGAAATTTATAGGTTATGTGTCATTCTGATGTAAAACCTATATTGTAGTTTCATCAAAATTCAGTAGTTACTGCGTGAAAGAGTAACAGACATTCACTCATCCATCTATACTTACAAGCTTTAGCGTTTATAATATTAGTAGGATATAATAACTCCTAACTAATAACAAGAATTAAAGAGCATGATGGAAGATCGCGGAAAGTGGCAAGAGCTCCACCGACAAGAGCTAGCTCTTAAATTATGAATGAATGAATGAATAATAACTCCAAAATAAAACTATGTCCTTTTAAATGAATTTTGGTTTTCCCTCGCTGACTTAATCTGACACTGGTACTGATACCTACTTATGTACAATTAATATATTTTATATATAGTGTAAGGTTATTATGAGTAAATTGCAAACAAGTGCCTTAGATTGAAGGCGTATCTATCAGGTACGACTTAGCCTTGTGCCGCCCCACTAAACCGGCGGGTTTTTTAGAATAGAATAGAAAAAAAAATTCTATTACATATACTTAAATTTAACCATTTAAGCACATTAAAATAGTCAACCTTTTTTTAATCTAGTATCTAGAGGTGATCGGTCCACATCAATCCCCCACCCCCTAGTAGTGACTGTTAGGTGGTATACAGATCCTAATACTAGTGACAAGTAATAAGAGGACAAATTGGAGAAGTGAGAATAATCCTCAGGAAATAAAGTTATCAAATTTATTTACCAAATTAATAAAATGGTTCACTTTGATGAACAACCTGAGTTACTGAATTTTAGTTTGTTACCCTTTATAAAAACTATCATGTTAAAGATGTAAAAGAGGTTTACATTTTCTTTTTATTTTTTTTCTTTGCTTAAGAATAATTCCTGATAGTATTTAATTGTAGAGGTGGTAAAATATAAGTATACAATATATACTTACTAATTCTTTATTATCAACCCTGTATTTTTCTTAATGTGTTTAATGTATACTTTAATAATAAAATGTACTATTATTTTTATAACAAGTATCCTTTTAAGTATAACATTATTCAAATGTCTAATTTAAAGTGTTTTGTCCCTAATTGTCTTGCAGTTTTCTTAATTTGACAGAAAGTGACAAAACACTAATAAAATTGGTAAGGTTATAGCTCTTATTCATTTTTAATATTAAGGCGATTATATTTTTGCATAATATTGTATTAAATTCAACGAATGACAAACAGAAACGTAGTGAATTTGCATTTTGTATTAATATTTTGGTAATAAGTACTTATTTGTGTATTGCATTTTTTATGGCCTTTTTATATAATAGGGACCACATATAAGTATAAGCCTATGATTTCTGAGGTTATAGGGGTGTCATGATTTCAAACAAGCCTTCCTGGAAGATTAAGAATTACCGGGGATGATCATGATAAGAATAGTAACCAGAGATACCAAGTATAACAATTTGGATCCTATGCCCAAAGAGGGTTGACGTTAGGTAGGACTGCCTTCTGACATCAACCCTCTTTGGGTCATAAAAAATTGTGACCTAAACTATTCTCTCGTAAAATGAATTTGAGTGACAAATTGATGATACGGGTTGTTATGAGTATAATGTAATCGCCCTCTATTACTACTAAATGACAACTTACTGACATTGACATCTAACTGTCAATGTCAGTAATTTGTCATTTATATGTCAAACATCTCTGTGCGTTAGACTTTCCAATTGTATCCCGCGCTTTCTATTTTACATTAATGTATTAAAATTGTTCTATTATAAGTTAATAAAACTATTGCAGTTGAATTCAAGTCTTTATATTAGCCACTGGCAATGCTCTATCCAATAGTCACAAATGGTCTCTTTTGTGACATTCGTTCTTAATTTTTTTTATGTATGATAATGGAATGGTGCACCCGCCTGC